AAATACACATATCATGCTTGCACCTCTTTTCTATTAGTATCAAAACTGTTTTATCAAATTTGAAAGTAATCCATGAAGTATAGTTTTCTAGTTATAGGTCAAACAAATGTTTAAGTTTGTTTGTTTGTTTGTTGTTTCACGCCGCACTCAGCAACATTCCAGCTATATGACGGCGGGTCTGTAAAATAATCGAGTCTGGACCAGACAATCCAGTGATTGACATCATGAGCATCGATCCACGCAATTGGGATCGATGACATGTATCAACCAAGGCAGCGAGCCTGACCACCCAATCCCGTTAGTCGCCTTTTACGACAAGCATAGTCGCCTTTTACGGCAAGTATGGGTTGCTGAAGACCTATTCTACCCCGGAAAAATGTTAAAGTAAAAACAGTCTAAGTTAAAAATATGAAAAACACCTGTATGTTTTCGGAAAATAAAAACATTGAAATCACAATTCCCACTGCAAATCTATAAATAGTGTTCAAGTTTGAAAAGAATCTATGAAGCAGTTTTCGTTCGCACAAATGTTGAAGTACAAAAATAGTCTAAGTACAAAACAATTGGACTTAATGGAAAAGAATCCTTGAAGTCGTTGTCTAGTTGTAGGTCGCACAAATGTTTAAGCCAAAAAAATCGACTTAAATAAATGAAAAATAACTGTTATTTTTCAGAAAATCTAAATATTGAAATCAAATTTCACACTGCACCTCTCCTATAGGTATGAAAGTGTTCACCAAGTTTAAAAAGGATCTATGTACTTTATATGACCGCAGATAAGCCGAGGTATCAACTTGGTCTAGTGCAGTAGATAAACCCGACCCCCAACCTCAAACTACGTCTGTTCATGATCTGTCATCGGAAATAAAATATCAACAAGTCCGTATTGAATTACGCAAGTTAATTGAGCTGTTACACCATTGGTAAGAAAAAGTGTTTAATTGAATATCTGGACACATATTTGTAATCTACGTAATCTATTTTATCAATTTAAATCAAATGTTCATTCAATAATATTTACATTAATTTCAGTGTCCATCCGGTACTTACAACTTCCATTTGCCCCGTTCCATAAGGTCACTGACGTTATTTACAGCAACCATGATCATATTACCGCTATTGACACCTTGAAACGAATCTTAGTTGACAGAAAATGGATACATATATCATAACTTCCATACTTGGACTCGTTGAAAATAATATTCGTTGTAGTTTGATGATTAAATGTCAACATATTGTTTCTGTGATGGAACCTTAACCATGATTTGTCAAATTGTTCCATGCGAAAAAAGTGCTACTGCATACTCCAGGTTATCGTTATAATTATTTTGAAGATATATTGTAAAATCTGCAATTAAAAGAACACGATATCAGAATATATTATTCATTGTAAAATAGTAATTTTAGATGCTATTTTTTCCGATCATTTCATAAAAATACTTTTCCGTTATATTATTGGGAATGTTTTAAAGTAATCACCTGTAGATTGGGAGACGACCTGTGTACAGCTGATTGCTATTTACGGCTTAGTTTATGTGACAATACACATGGTAATCTTTATCCCTGCATATAAAATCATGCCTAGCATAACAAGAAATACAATTGAAATGGTAAATTATCATGTCAAGTGATGTTTAAATGCACATTTCACTTTTCATTGACAAAGTTTGTTTAAGCGTTGTTCATTCACCTGAAGCAATACGATGTAGTTCTTTTTACCAACAGAAAAAGAATTTGATGAAAGTGTCACCCATACATAAACCGACCCCTCTCTACAGAATCTTTTTTCTGGTCCTCAAAATTCTGATTATTTACAGTTATTTATGGTTATGTCTTAATGGCTAAGTACTGCTCAGCAGTTTTGTAGAAACAACCGAATATACAACCTCACAAAATGTGCACTGAAAATAAGCACTGATCATGTCTATCCTGGATACAGAAAATACATTCATGGGAATATAATTAAATTTTTGTGTGTTCATTGAAATTCCTGCATTCTGATTAGCTGAATTGGTGTTATTGCATTCATTTCCAAAAAATTAAGCCACGCCCATCTTATTACTGCGGAATGTCGGGGGAATTCTCTTTCTGCTCACTTGTATCATCATGCACATGATATTAAGCAAAATTCATGCATATTCATTGTCTAAACAACTCTTTGAGACCGAAGGCCGAGAAGGAATGAAACACCAAAGTGCAGGCTCACGCGTCTCAGTTCCACAACTTTCATGTCTTCAGGTTTTATTTCTAACTAGGATTTTTCCAACTGTGTCTTCCCGTTCTCATGGAACTAATGTTTGAATCTGGCAGTAACTGACCATGACATTTGAAAAAATTCGCCTTCTCTCGAACATATTTGGTCCGGTTCGTTACAGTCTGACTGTTGCAATTATTCTCGCCTCTTGCCTTGATTGACAGGTCCTATGAACTTTGTTTTTATCATACCCTCCGTTGATTGGCTACTGACTTTGAAGGCGTGTCAAGTTATATGCATAAATTAAACAATCACCTGATTCATGTCACCCCATAGTATGTATTCCTATACCAAGAATGTTTATCAATCTCGACATTTTTGTCTGCTTTGATATAAACAACTGTTTTGGGTTAAACTATTGTAGATAAAACATGTTTTCACTGTCGAATTTAATTATAAGCATTGACTGTGTATTTTTTTCGGTTCATTGAGGTATGAATCGAAAAACTGATGTGCAAACCTTTGTAAGAATCTGCTATGTGTGAAAACCATGAGCATTGACAAGTTGTTGACAGACCAAGTCTGGGATTTAGACAACCAATGGACCATAAGCACAGTTGAGAAATGCAACTTTGTACAATGAGTCCAGTGCCATAGACTTAGTCATGGGTATTGGCAAGACTTTCAAATTGCAATTTATTGCAATAATGATAAATGTGTTTCAATATAAAACACAATATATTGCATTCTTTAACCCAAAATTTGTTACAAACCTGAATAAAAATAACCCAAATGGATCTATACATCAGACTTCCCTCGTACATTTCTGACAACTTCGTCTGTCATTTGGTTGGATGGTGCTATGGTCTCAACACATGTGTAATATACAAATATAATATGCAGGGACCCATCTTCCCGAGGAAAAGTAGTTAACTGACTCTAAAAGTCCAGTTTCCAACCTTGCCGAATTAGACTGCAGTTATGGAGTTATATTTTGGCTGAACGAATGTATGCATAGTCCAATCAAAATCGCAAAACGAACTAGAGTGAGTGAGTATAGTTTTACGCCGCTTTTAGCAATATTCCAGCAATATCACGGCAGAGGACACCAGAAATGGGATTCACTAATTGTACCTGTCGGGAATCGAACCCGGGTCTTCGGCGTGACGAGCGAACGCTTTAACCACTAGGCTACCCGACCGCCCAAACGAACTAGACATCCTGTTCGTAAACAACATGGATTTCAATGTGCAGATATTGATCGACTACAGATGTGTCCCGTCAACTGGGCGTCGACAGATATTTTCCAAATCTTTTCTCGTTTTTAATCAAGGTGCTCACTTGACTTGATGCACTTGGCGAGGTTAGACACGTTTAAGACTCCATTTCGTTTGAAGCAAATGTAAGTGATATGAGAGGTGGAATCTGATTGGTCAATAGGAGGGACATAGAAGGGACATAACTTGTAATAGCCACAGGTAAGTAAGTCTCCGATCGAGCCTAGAAACTCCAGCCTAGTTCAGCAAGGGTGGAAACTGTTTTTTTAGAATCAGATAACTCCCTTGCCAACAAGATGAAAATATGCATGATTTTGAAACACGCAATATACCGTTACATTCCAAATATGCGTGACCAACCATGAGATAAGGGGGCCTTATGGGTGAAAAATCACATTTGGACTTTTCATTGTATCTTAATATTACAGCATCTTCGGAACACAAAAATACAATCCCCAAACTTCAATTCATATTTATTACAGAGATACATGATATTACACATATCAATCTTTACTGAAGTATGTTGACGTCTAATGTCTTTATGATGTCATAGCACTATTGTATCATCACACCCATAAGGTCCCTTTTCTCCCGGTGAATCAAATATTGTGATACATATTCATTAGTTTTTCAAATCAACTCATTCCCACTGTAAAAGATATGACTCTCAATTGCTTCATATTATTTCAATTCAATGGATTTTTTGGAATAATGCAAGAAAGATTACCTCAAATGGAGAAACAAATATCAAGTTCCTAGAATACAATTCATCATTTCAGCCATCAATCCTTTTCACTTTGATCCACTGACATTTCCATGTTTTCACTCCAACAACTATGACATTCAGTAATTGATACTTTGTGAAATGTTTGCAAAAAACCCTCTTATGTTTCGTCACAATTTTGTCAAAACACTCAAAAATCAGTAGAGCAACAACTTTCAAACCGAGCAGCAGAACCACCACAACAACTGCCTTACCGGAAGCAGCTTTAGTACAGTCCCAGTTTAACAACAATTACACACAACACAATTGATCAAACTCAAGGCTTGTCTATTTGATGCTATAAATAAGTTAATAATCAGCAGAGTGGCATTTTGGCTTTTGTGTTTAGTGTCAGCTTTTAAAATACTGAACATGCTACATGGTGGATCTTTCTGGCTACAAGCCATAAAGGCATGGCATTAACATTCATTACTGCAAAGGCTTATTCTGGTGTTCTGAATTAAAAGAGCTAGATACAATCATTTTTTTAACCACATAAATACACAATAACTTTTTTATTTTGAATAATACACAAACAAATGGAAGAGAAAATTATATCAGCAAAATAGGATGCTTGTGCAACAAAAAGAAAAAGGCTATTTTTCCTCACTCAGTCCAAAAAGCTGTAATCATTTATCCACATTTTGAAGGGATGGAAATTTGATTAATATTTTCTTCCAAACATAATAGTTCGGGATCCCTAGCCAAACACCTACCATGTCACATATCAGAAAAACAACTTGTAACAAATGTTCAAATTACTTACTTTTCTGACAGCCCAAGAGAAGATACTTGTGACTTTTCTTCCTCGTCTTCTGGTTTTGCTGAAAGGACATTGGAAAAGAGGAACCAATTAGAAGGAATCGCTTTACTTTCATAATGGAAGTGTGGTAGGTAAAATGGAAGTCTGACATCAATAGCAATGGACAAGGAAATCAATATCACGGCCCACATCCAAGAATAGCAAGCAGTATATACCACACAACTCTGAAATTAAAAATTAATTTTGCTGAGTACAAAGATTCACTCTTGACATGAATGTAATAGAAAATACAATTGTATACTGATGAAATTTGTTGCTAACTGACAGAAGTTTTATGTGAAAAACTAACAAGTAATAATTACTCTTATGCAAGAGAATTCTGTTTTTATCATCTATAGGTGGCATTTATGCAAGGAAGACCTGAGCATGATGACAGCTGCAGTTGGTTGTTAGGTAAACAGAAAGTGTAATAATGGACCAACTGTTGCATGCCCAGGTGTAACAAACCATCCCACAAGTCCCATTCTATCAATCACATCAAAAGCATCACTTTGTTGTGCACCACAATATGTCCATCATCTATAAAGAGCTACTGCTTGGGTGATACATCACTGTTCACACTCATTCCCCATGACAGTTCCAAGCCAACTGTGCGACAAAATGTCAACAGAAATCACTGCACTGTCAATTAATGTGTATCATGCTCATTTCACCAAACAAAACTTGGAAATCTGTTTCAGAAAAGTATATAGCCAATTCATGACTAGTTTACTTTGAGAAGTTAAAAGGTAGCATTTCCCTATACAGTCAAGAAAACTCATTTTTTGTTTTAAACAAATATTTGAAATTAGCCTATAATGCTAAAACTGCTTTGGGCAGAAGTAAATACTTAAACAGAACTTGTCAGTTTCAGCAATCATAATTAACTGATGATCAACGGAAATTAGTTCAATGAAAACAACTTATCAAAGTGAAAAATGTTTTTTAAAAAACTCCAAATAGAGAGCATACATTCCATACATCAGAGAAATACATCAATGTGCGGATGATTCACAGAATAAAACTGACAAGGACCCACATACAGGCTTTCAATAATTAATCAGTACATAATATTCTGAACACATCACGCAAAGTAAACATAAATTGTTTTTAACTGTCATTTTACATTATAGTCAGTTGCACACAAGCTGATAAAGAGTGTGAAGAAACTATAAGAAGCCATACCCCATCTCTAGCCTATCAAAGTATACCTCAAATCAATATATCGATGTCAATATGATGCTGCTCAATGTTCCCTTTTTCCGGTGTCTCACTCTCCTAACTCCCCATTTACAAGCAACTAGAACAATAATTCATAAATCTATGGAGCCAATTCTGATATTTTGGCATCAATTACCTTGGCAAAAACAGGTTTATATCAATGTTGATTTGTACAGCACTGCCACAAGGCTCTCACATTCATCAGAATGGCATGTAATACTACATTGCATAAATGATTATAAATAATTAATGATGAGACAGAAATTGCTGTCACAATGTCAGTGGAGCTGGACCAGGCTTACTAAGGCTATCATTATGGTTCAGAAGAACTTGGGAGCTTCAAGTAGCCATTAGCAAGAGTTATCTCCCTTCCACCTGATGACAATGCAGTTTTGATTGTCAGTGTAGCAATACTAGCATCAAAGTGGGACTTACTGCCAAAGTATCCTGAAAATATTATTTGCAAATGGAATGCTACAGTCAGACAATAAGTAATTTACACTGGCTGAATCCTGTTCTTGTCTGTCTGGAATATTGCAACTAATGATTTCCTGGCTTCAAGGACTTGTCATGCAATTGTATGTTGCAAAGTGAAATTAAATAGATGTCTGAAAATCTTAAGGAGCTACTTTCGCTTGACTTAGTTTGAATAAGTCAAATATTCTTGAATAATTACTGGTATATCTCTGCTACCATGCCAGCAAAATTCCAATTTGATCACTGTGCATGTCAAGTGGTTAATCATAGACCCAACAAGTTCTTACAGAATCATGACAAACAATCCATTCGGACGGTGACAGCCATGAAATCTGCTTCGATGGTCACCCATACACTTAAAATCAATTGCGACCAGTTGATCAATTGTTTATTTGGGAAAGTAATTCTCATTATAAGAGAAATATTGGAAAAATGAAATGGTGAAAAGGGCAGAAAATTAGAAAAGAAAAGACAGATAAACTTGCAAGTGTCTTGAGCAATGTGTAGAATCCTACTGCCACTTTTGCATTTTCCTGTATTGTACTGTAGGCATCTTTCTGCCTTGGGAAGTTTTACTTTTTCTTTTTCCTTGTAAGACCTCATCCCGGGTATGAGGTTTTACTTTTTCCCCAAAAGACCTGGTATGAGGGTTTTTTTCCTGGTAAGACCTGGTATGAGGTTTTACTTTTTCTTAGTAAGACCATGAAATTTCCAAAGAAAACGTCCAATGTTCTAAAATCGAAGACAAGAAATGAAAGTTTTCATCATGGATGACAGGAATCTAACCTACAAACTCACATATCATGTTTAGTTTTGTAACCCACTGTTTTCCTTCCGAGCCACCAGGACAGTTGATGAAAAGTTGTTCAAATTTACATGTCATGAAACCAGTTACATTGTCAATACCCTCTTGCCTCGGTCTTACTTCCTTGACCATAACCTCAGAGTCATGCTTTATCCTTCACAAAGTTTAACCACATCTATCAGTGAATATTAGAAGCTGACTAAGTAAGCCATTCTTCATGCGCATCTAATGAAGACACTCTATGACAGACAATCAATACACGGCAAACTCGGTTGTACACAGGTTCTGCGTGCAAGTATTCTTGTAAACAGATATTGATGGCATTTTCACTGACATGAAACTCATCCAAATCTAGATTTCTCAATCATGACTTGAGAAAATTAGAATAATCAAAGATGCCATGCCAGTATGTTTACGACCTAACCTGATATACAAACATAATTAAATGTAACAGAAACCTTGAGCTAGCCTTAATTAGGTCAGGGAAGCTAATAACAAGTCAGTGATAAGCATTGTTTGACAAATGTACAATTATAACAGTCAATCTTGGCTTCATTAACAATGTCGAAAGAAATTCTACATACACATTGAAAAATGACACATACAAATGATTATAAATACATTCAACATTACACTTATGGATGTGATAAATGAAACACAATGCATCAAAACTGAAATTAGTGAAAACAATGAATAATTCATTTGCTTAATCATTTATTAGAAAAAGAAGACATGGTACTGAATCAAATAATGCAAATTATGCACACATAAATCAGAACTGTCCCTTATCAAATCTTCACTTCATACCTCCAACAGTAAAGTTTTTGGCATAAATCAGGTCATTCACAAACTTAAATACCCTTTCCTTTGTCGTCAATGGTGTTTCTTTCCCTATTCATTATCCTGCCTCAAAGCCTCCTTAATCCAAGCATTCAAGCCAGAGAAGTCCTCAGTATCAATATTAGGCTGTGCTCAGTTGGAAACCTACCCACCTACACCCCCCCCCCCCCCCCCCCCCACACACACCCACAGACACACACACCCACAGACACACACACCCACAGACACACACACACACACACACACACACACACACACCTACCCACCCACCCACCCACACACACACACACACACACCTAATCTCTCACTCACAATGTTGTACTTAAACCAAATAAGCAAAGATGCTTTAACCCTCTGGATGCCGAGTTTTTTTTCTGACGCACATTTTCCTTAGATCGGAAAAGTGAAGGTTGTGCGAGAATTGCGCTCACGCGGCACTGGATCTACCTCTCGCTATAAACTTACGCAGAGGTGGAGAATATTAAATTTCCTATTTGATGGTGTTAACTTAACTGCAAATATTAAACCGTTTTTAAAGAAATACGCTTCTAAGTGTTGTCCGAGAATTTATTCTGCGTTGAAAAACAGTAAATTTCTCCGCTTTTTATCGTACATCGATAAAAGTACTGTGCGACGATGTTTTTTATTGCGAAGCTTCACGGAAACTGTCAGCGAACAAAATACTGCCTAATATCTGAACGACATAACTATATATGAAATGGAGTTATATGCGTATGTGTAACGACATACATTCAATGCCAAAAATAGCATGCCGTAAATGACGAAAACTGATTTTTCTCTATGACGTCAAAAGGCGACAGAGAGGTTACACGTGTACAAAGAAAAGGGGGCATAACTCCGCTATGCTTAGCACTAGGTTATTGTAACTCAGGTCAATTTGTGAGAATTAGCTGTGGGTAAGGACAATGTATTTTCTTTGTGTTTCGTTCACGAGGAACCAAACTATTCCAACACAAATATCGATATTGAAACTGTATACGTTTTCTTGTAAATTAAACACACAAGAAACGATGAAATCGTACTTCATAAAAAAGAGGTAATAGAGAAATGGATGGCCCTATCTAACCTATAACTTAGTCCTTATATTCCAACGTTCTCCTGAGTGTGTAAGTGTAATTTGACTTATGGTGCACCATTATTAATGGAGCACTAGCTTTATCATCAAATGTAGTGAAATACCCCAAAATAACACCATTCCTTTTGACGTCGTGGCCGGTTTTATGTCTTTGATAACGTCGGAGAAAGACGACACTGGTATTTTGATTTATATATATCTCCCCTAATTTTCGTTCATGGTTTGGAAAATCTCGATGTGTAAAACGGAATTTGACGCTTTTTCGACACAACATAAAATGACTGCTTTCACCAAGTAAATAATGTCTTGAATATGTAAACAATTAGATAGTTTATCGTGTATCTTAATTGGACAGGACACGCACCTGTTTGGCATCAATTTACATTATGAAATTCACAAAAGAATATTTCAAAACAACCAAAATTATATTCAGTATTGGACATATATTTGTTCATTATCATGTTAGTATTTCTCTTCATCTCGTCTCAGAATGAAACAATAAAAGATGCGAAGAAAGCACTATCATATTGGTATAGAATTATCAGGATAATCGTATAAGGTTGAACCAACGGGGTACCTGGCA